GCCTGTGATGAGAGAGCCCAGGCTGAATGGCACAGTCCCCAGACTCCTAGCAGGTGTGGAATAGGACCTGGGTGGACCTCAGAGAGGGCCAGATGTGCTGGGTGGGAGATGCTGTAGCCTGAAGGGAACGGGACAGGGATGCCAGGCCTCCTAAGGTGAGGAGCCTGTGCTGGTTGAGATCCTGCTGACCCCCACAGGTTTGTTTTTCAGTGTTCAGAAAGGTGAATGAACTTGGGCCCCCTGCTTATTATACCTCAGTACTTTGCCCTTGGGATTTCTCATTGTGCAACTTTCATGACTCAGCAAATGAGGTGGCCACCCAGATGTGATACCCACAGCTGGGCAGGCCCCAGTCTCTCCTGGACGTCCATTGGAAGCTGAGGGCTGAGGCTGCCCTGAACACTCTCAGCTCTGGGGAAGTAGGTGAGTGGACTCGGGTATAAAGTTGGGGGTCTCTGTGTGGAAATGGAGTCTTACAACTTTTAAGGGTCTGAAGGCTTCACTTGGCCCTTTATCTCTTAGCAGCCGAATCCTTAGCATTGGGGAAAGGAGGCTTCACTGAAACTTCTGCTTTGGAAACAGGAGTCCTGCAAGATTTGGAACTTTGAGAGGGCCCAAAGGCCTGGGAACATAATAATGATTGTTAAAGGGTGTCATCTACATTTACCAATCAGTTTAAAGAGCCCTAAAAGGGAAATGAGGCTGAAGAAGAAGGAACTGAATATATATATCAGTACATTATATTCACCAGGCTGTTAACTTTCAAAACAACCCTAGAGGGGCAATGTTATTAAACCCTAAAATGTAGGTGAAGACACAGACTAAGAGCAATTAAAGACATACCCAAGATGTATAGCTAGAAATGGAAGGAAACAGGGCTCCAGTCAGGTGTTTTTGATCCTCAACCTCCTCCCACTGGTGGTGGCTTGCTTCTCTTATGGCCACAGGAAAGACTTGAGCTCCCTCCTATGTTTTGTGGAGGCCGGGGACACTCACTTGGCTTCCTCTCTTTCCTTCAGGGCTGCAGAGAAGGTGTGCATGAAGGTTTAGCTCTCACCTGCGAAAACTGCAGACACAAAAGTCTCTCCATGGCACCTCATCACATCCGCAAATACCAGGAGACTGACCACAAAAGGGTCCAGGACTTGTTCTCCCAAGGAATGGTCGAGCACATCCCCGCCACTTTCCGCCACATACTGAAGTTGCCACAAACAATCCTGGTCTTACTTGGGGTGCCCATCACCCTACTCCTGGTCTCTGGCTTTTGGCTCCTGGCTCTTGGATCTAATGTCACCCTCCTTGTTTTCCTCTGGCTGCTGGCCAGACACCCTTGGAAGAAGTACGTGGTCATGTATTTGCAGACAGACCTTGCTGACATCACCAAATCCTACCTGAGTGCCCATGGTTCCTGCTTCTGGGTGGCTGAGTCTGGGGGCCAGGTAGCAGGCATAGTGGGTGCTCTGCCAGTGAAGGACGCCCCCCCAGTGAGGAAGCAACTGAAGCTGTTTCACCTCTCTGTGGCCTTGGAGCACCGAGGTGAAGGACTAGGGAAAGCCCTGGTCATGACTGTCCTCCAGTTTGCGAGGGCTCAGGGC